ATATTTACTAATAAACTTAAGGAGACTCCTAGAAGAGCCATTCGAGTGGCAGACTTGGCCATAAATTTTGCATCGAGTGGCTCATCAAGTTGCATCGAGGGCTTGCTGAAATGTTGAATCTGGAAGAATTATAGAAAACTGGATCTCATAAGTAAACATAACTTGTTCATATCAATGAAGGAAATACTAACGAGTATCATCTATTCTAAAGTACAAATGATCAATATGTTTCACTTACACAAACATAACGATCGAACAACAAGCATAACTGGAGTGTGTTTAACTTACATTGCTTGAAGGCTGAGAACCATTATCAGCAGAGACCAAAGACCAACCAACATCCCATCCAGAATCTTTTGAACCCAAAGAAGCTTCAATAAGAGATTGGAGTGCAGTAGAAGATACAGGGCAATCAACCTTGTACCATATTAGTCAAATCAGCACCAAAACGAAGCGCATGTAAAAAAGGGGCTGCAATATTTTCCAAACAATCACAAGAGCTCTTGGATACATATAATATCACCCACCAAGCAATCTCAATACAGTGACTTCATAAATCATCAGCCACAGGAAGGTATTAGTGGTTGAATTTGAACAAAACACGATTATCAAATGATCAGATGGATTGATGCACATCAAGAAAACCGATGAATTTCACCCATACCAGTGAAAGGAGTTGTGCAGGAACAGAAAAAGGAGCTTCTTTCTCCGAACTTAGTTGACCCTGAAAAGAATAAAACATCTTAATCATTCCCTGAAAACTCCAAATAACTTACAAGTCAACACAAACTATTCATAAAAACATATACCTCCACCATAATCTCAACGCGAGCACCCGGAATCAACTTCACTGGATCCTTTACAAAAAGAAAAAAGAACCCAGCTTAAAGTAGCACATCAAACCAAGAACGTGCATCATTGATAAGCTAATTAGAGCCATATATCTAACCTGAGAGATACTAGTTCTGTGGCCTAACGTTAAGAATGGTTCCACAAGAGATGCAACAGTCAAAACCAGAGCAATATCCTGACCACTACCACCAGCTTCAGACATAAACTTAGCCGCAACCTCATGGCTCAAGACATTTCTTGGAAACAACATCCCAGAAGCTGAAAGTGTTGTATCCCCAGAACTTCAAAAACCCCAAAGAAAGGGATTTTTCAGACACATTGATTATCCAAAATAGAAACAAAAATTTGCTGAATAGATACTCACTGGTATTGATGAAAAGCATGTTTCCTCATCTTCAGTCCCTTGGGGTCCTAAAGGATAGACAAAGATAATCATCGACACAAAGTACTATGATCATGCGTGAATTAGATAGAGCTCGAGATATGATCTGAATAGGGTAAGAGAGATAATCGCTTACAGGGCCTTCAACTTTGACCAAGACGGCGAATTTCCGAGAAAAGCTGACAACTTTCGACAAATCCATGATCAAACGAGAAAGGGTTGTTTTTTTTCCAATCGGAACAAGTTAAGGTTCAGATTTCAC